TTGCCAGAATTCGCTTAATGACTATGTGCTTCACTTAACAACCATGGTGATTCGCTTAATAACTGTTGTACAAAAGATTCCAAATCACGATCACGTTTAGCACTTTTTCTGTCGTAACTTTGAACCATCATTTAAAAAATGGTCATTAAGTGAATCCAGCTTCTCCAATGGACTTTTTGCCAGAATTCGCTTAATGACTATGTGCTTCACTTAACAACCATGGTGATTCGCTTAATAACTGTTGTACAAAAGATTCCAAATCACGATCACGTTTAGCACTTTTTCTGTCGTAACTTTGAACCATCATTTAAAAAATGGTCATTAAGTGAGGACTACCTGTAGAAGCAGTGTTGCTCTTGCAAAAAAAAAAAAAAATGCCAGCACAGGTTGGCCCTTTTGTTTTGCAAGGCAATGTCTACAGCAGAATGTTAGCTACGTTGCTCATCCCTAATTTCTTAAACATAGAGGTAAGATAAAAAATTAGGAGAAAGCATACGATGCACATATATACACAGATTTTAAAAATGTAAAGCTACCAGTGTTAGAAATATTATCTTGTACGATTATGTAATAATTAAAAAGCAGAAGAAAAAAAATGGGAACTACTGAGTCAGTTCAGAGTTAGAGTGTACCAACAAGCAGAAAATAAAAGTAGTAAAAAAGAATGCAATTTCCCCAAAGTACAATGTAATTTAAACTGGGGGATTTGCAAACTCAAATAAATTAATATGGCTTGTAAATGCTAATCCATGCAGGGGTTGGGGTTTGAGCTCTTAGTCTGAACAACAATGGAAGCAGTAGGATCAGTTTAAAGGCTACATAATATAAAAAGAGAAAATAAACCCAAAAGATGCAGTTAAAGGGTTATCCTTGTCCCTATTTTATCTTGCTTTCTGTTTTGTTTCCTAGAATGTTTACAAAATAGATTGCATTTGTTTCCTTCTCTTTCTTTTTAATTATTATCCACTTATCATGATCTCGTTTTTCAGTCACCCAGGATCTATTATTGAGCTGGAACAAAATCTCCATTTCTGATCTGGAGGATCACTCCCAGTTTCAATTTATTATGGCCCTTAACCAGCAAACAAAGACAAGTCCAAGAAAAACACCCAGCATATGAGCATTCACTATTTAGACTTTAGGACAGCAGATGCAACGTTACTGTAGGAAGAGCTATGGTTCATAACAGCAGGACTTTGATCTTCCGCTGCAGATATTTGTTGTCTATCGATGGCATTTTAGTTTACAAAAAGCCACCCCATTTGGGGGCAGGAAGTAATTCAGTTTAGGATCTAGACTGCAGTTCAGTCCAGACAATGCCCACCAAGGGAGGAGCTTACAGCTGCTTTCAACAACCCATCGCTCTCCAGATGTGCCAAACTGCTAATCCCATTGAACAGTTTTGAGCCACGTCGCTTGAAGGAGTTATACTGAATTCACTGGAAGAGCATGAGGTTCACAAAAGGCTGACTTAGCGCTATGTCCCTCAAGGCTTTGCTTTGTGCTGAACCCTTCCCCAGAAATAAAGTCATCTGGCCTTCCTAGTAACTGTGAGTCACCCAAAACGAATAATGTCAAGACGCCTGTACAAAACCACAGCCTTTTCACCTACATGAATAATCTGAAATAACTGCAGATTCAGCATTCACAGAGTCTGGTATCAGCACTATCAGAGTCTTCAACTGTGAACCCAAAACAGCTATTTTGCCAGGCTGCAGCTAAGGATGACATCAGGATGTGCCAGACGTTGCTTGACCTGCCTAATTCTTCTGGACTGCCATAACTTCCTGTAACTGAAATCTACAATTTTGTGGCCCTGCCCTCTGGAATGATGCAGGATGGATTTTCACCTTCCTCTGTGCAACATCTCTCCCCTTTCTCTTCTCGAGGCTAAACATTCCCAATTCTTTCAATCTCTCTTTGTAGAACTGAATTTCTAGTCCCCAGATCATCCTCAGGGGTCTTCTCCAAACCGCTTCCTGTTTGTTGAATTCTTTTTAAAATGTGTCTGGAACCCAAACCAACACCCCAGGTGTTGTCTGACCAACAGAGGACAAATCTGCATTATTAAGTCTTCCGAGTTGTACAAGCTACAGATGAATTTTTAATAGCTTTTGCTATCCCCTTAAGTCCTAAGTTCTGCCAAACTCGGAAAGCTTACCTTGGAATCAATGGCTGCAATGCTATGGATACTTGGGAGCAAGTGAAGACAGCTCTTTTTCAGACAAAGAGCAGGTGAGCTTCTATCAGAGAACCATGCTTCTCAATCTCAATAATTATAAAATGCGTTATTCCCCAGGTGGCTTGGGGATTCTGGGAGTGGAAGTCCACACATCTTAAAAGCTGCGAAACACTGTATTCAACAATAAACCACTGCAGCCGAGTTCACACAGCACACCAAGCCTAAACAAACCACCGCATACAGAAATGGCTTGAGAGGAAGGGCTGGTTCAAAAAACCACCATTGTTTGTTTGGTTTTAGTTTAGCCACTATGGCTGAACTGAATCACCGTGTCTGATTGAGCGTATTTTCCAAATCCAGCAGAACGGGCCGGCTTCCAGTCTGGAGAGTTTGAACAGGGGATTAGACAACGTCAAGTCTATTCGTCGTGATGTCTGTCAGTTACCTTTAGGGCCAGAGGGTCCTCCGAATCTGCATCTGGTGGCTGGAGGGTGCTTCAAGAGAGACCCCGCGTTCCAGTGCTCACAAAGAACCTGGGTCTGGCAATACCTCACCAGATGGGACGCGGAGGGGTTGAGAAGGTTCACATCTGAACTACCAATATCTTGACCACTTAGTGTCAGAGCTCACACACTGCGCTAAGCCATGGGTTAACCATGGCTCTTTGGATAACCCCGCACCGCAAGCTAAGACGGGTGCCCAGGGGCTGGGTTCACACACGGTTCGAAGCCGAAGCCAGCAACCCAACTTACTCCGCGGTGCAAACCAAAGGAGCTCCCTTCCAGCCCCGCGGCAACGTCGGCGTTCCTCGAAGGAGCCCTCTTCCCACGTCCTCGCTGAAGCGAGAGCCCCTTCCCCAACCCGGCCGCTTGAGCCGCGCCGCGTCCCCTTCCCGTGCCGCACCTACCTGAGAGGCTCGGCCCACCATCACGTCGGTGCAGCCGACCGGGTAGGCGCCTTTCCCGTGCGGCAAGCCCAGGGACTGGGTGACCCCCATCCTCGGAGCTTCGTCTTGCGAGGGGAGTCGGAGGCGGCCTGAACGGATGGCTTTCCGACGATCTCCGGGGCTGGAGAACCAGAAAAGGGCGGCTCCGCTCCGCTTCCTCCTCTCGCTCTCGTCCCGGCCATTGGCGGCTGGCGGAGCGGAGTTTCTGCGGGCCGAGCGAGCGAGGGAGGAGTCCGGAGGGACCGAAAGAGGAAGCCGCGAGGCTCCTTAAGCCGAGAGAGGAAACGCGGCAGAGCGAACGGCGTGTTTCGCCGACTCCGGGTCGCGCGTCCTGGGCGCGGAGCCGCTGCGCCTCCCCGGGCTCCGCGCGCGCCAACTCGGTTGGGGAGGGGGGGGGGGGGAG